TGTGAGGGGTTCTTGACCTTTCCCCGGCGAAGAGTCAAAAGGTACTCTAGTGAATTACTCATGGCTTGTGTGATCCTCATCTTGTGTTGGTTGTGCGACACCCTATTGAGGGTTTGGCGTGTGATGCCAATTAGCGCGTGAACCTCCAAGTGAGTGAATCGTCACAACGAGGAGTAGCTTACCAGCAAGCAAGTGAACCTCGGTAAAAATCATTGTGTTCATCATTTGATTCTGAGGTGATTGGTCTTCGTTGATATTGATTCTTGTGATTGATTGGTTCACTCCTCGATACGGTGGTATAACTATCTTGCTCACTCTCTTTACATTACCGCAAATTAGTTGTCAAACTCTTTAGTGTAGCTAGTTATGAGAGCTTGTTAGTTTGGTTAGTGTGTCTCCTTAGTTAGCCTTTGAGAGCACACTAACTTAGTGTAGTGACATAGCTATTGTGTGGATAGAAACTATATCAACTAAAATTGTGGTAGGTGGCTTACATTTTTGGTAGGCTAGCGCAATACTTGCTTCGCCTCATAATTGTCTAACCGGTTTGCTAAGTGTTGTTGTAGAAATTTTTATTAGGCTATTCACCCCCCTCTAGCCATTAGGACCTTTCAGCGGTATAACCATCTTGCTCTCTCTCTTTACATTACCGCAAACTAGTTGTCAAGCTCTTTAGTGTAGCTAGTCGTGAGAGCTTGTTAGTTTGGCTAGTGTGGCTCTTTAGTTAGCTTTTGAGAGCACACTAACTTAGTGTAGTGACATAGCCATTGTGTAAATAGAGATTATATAAACTAGAATTGTGGTAGGTGGCTTGCATTTTTAGTAGGCTAGCGTAACACTCGCTTCGCCTCATATTTGTCTAACCATATTGCTAAGTGTTGTTGTAGAAATTTTAATAGGCCATTCACCTCCCTCTAGCCATTAGGACCTTTCAGCACCCCTGCTTCAACCATATGCATGGGAAAAGGGACATTATCAACTTCCATATCAGAAGAGACTCAATCATCCCTCATTAAGGGTCGATTGGACCTGCCAACGGAAAACATTGCAATCGTTAGTGGCATGAGAAAAAGAGTTATGATATTTGCAATATGCCCGTCTTTTAACTCATCAGCTGAAGGCAATGTATAATTAATTCTAATATAACCGAATTTCAATAATTCATCAAAGATTCGGTCACATTTAGAGAAATCCAAAGTACATTTCATCTCCTCATTTCGATTCTTATGAATCGGCTTGAGAAGGACAAGTAACCATCTTATTCTCTGCTGTCCATTTAATTTTAGCATGGAACAACTCTTTGTTATCATCATCAGAGTAATCAGAATTATCATCAACAAAATACACCCCCTGACGATGTGACTTATAAGCATCATGAGACTCTTTAAGGCGCGATTCAACCGAAACGGCCTTTTGTAGCAATTGAATAACATTAACAAATTCATAATGCTCAAGTTTCTCCCTAATACTAGGACGCAAACCAGCAAAGCATAAATCAGTTAAGTCTCTTTCTAAAATCATCAAATGAAAGCATCGGTTCTTGATTTCTCTAAATCGTTTGAAAAAAATCAAGGACAAGTTCATCACGACCTTTACGAACCGATGCAAGATAAGACAACCTAGTTTTATGAGCTCCATTGTAAAAGTGATTATGAAACTTTTCCTCTAATTCAGCCCATGAACCAATAGAACAAGATGGTAATAAAGTAAACCATGCAAAAGCTGTGCCGGTAAGTGACAATGGAAAATTACGAACTTTCATAAAATCAAAAGCACTAACTTCACCTAATTGTGCAAGAAACATGCTAATATGCTCCATGGTTGACTTACTATCATCACCACTAAATTTATTAAAATCAGATACCCTCCACCCATCAGGTGCTTTCATGAAATCAAAATGTGAATGGTACGGCTTATGGTAAGTAGTCCTACTAGGCTTGATTTGTACACCTAAACTTTCCTCATGTGATTTAGACAATTCTTCTCTAAACCGATTCAACGTATCGCTAAAATCGGTAGTAGGAGCAGTAGGTGCATTATCAAGTATAGGAATTTGACTTGGTGACTTCGGCGGGTGAGGAAGGACCGTGTTTTGCCTTGCCGAAGCTCGGTTTGTTGCTGATCTTTGATCGGTTCGAGTGTTTCAAGCCGAATTTTGATCATAGATAACTAATTGTGAAGATGGAGCACTACTGGCTAAACCAGCCTTATCGATTTCAAGTGCCGAAGAGGCCGATTTGCCTTTGTTTGCTGCTGCATATAATCCTTGATTATCATAAAAATTCAAAGGCATGCCAAATTCAGGTTGTTTAGAAGAAGAAGCAACACCCGATTGATTCCCATCAGTTGTTTTCCTTTCCAACTTATCAAAACGAGCCATGATCATATTCATTGTAGCTAAAAGGTTATTATTTATTACTTTCTTATGATCATCCATCATAGTAGCGTAATTGGCATGCGTAGGATAAGGATCAACGATATCATCATACTTGGGTTCATTGGTCCTTACCTCAGGTGTAGCGGGTGCAGATGACGTAGAAGTGATCAACTCGCTGAAGTCTGGCTCCTTGTATTGGATGACCTTGTCCCGCCGATCTTTAGTGCAACTCTGAAGAAAAGCCCACAGAACGGCGTTGAACTTGGCCTCCACTTGCTGCTTTAGCTCCTCGGGAAGCTCATCAACGGTCTCAAGATGGTTGAAGTTAGCACCATGAGGGACGCTAGTCCTATCGCCCTTCTCACCTACATCATCACCATTGCTTCCCATGTCGACCTTAGATTGAACCTTGGATCGCTTTGCTTTCCCCAGCGGAGTCGCCAAAAAGTATGTTGACGCTAAAGATGACTCCAAGCCAACACACCAGCAGAACCTTGGACGCCCAAAAAGGTTGTAGATCAACGTGCAATGCAGCAAGAACACAGTGTAATCGATCAAACCGATCTAGAGACCGATAAGGCCGATGTAGAGCCAGTTCTTTGCTGAAAACGCTCCTGAACTTCTCCTAGGAAGACTTGTCGGGGAGGAGCACGTGGAGGATCTCCTGGGACCAGCAAGGCCGCCTAGGATGCCATTGAATCTCGCCAGTAAATTCAACGAACAGTAGGAGGGGTTGAGAGAAGAGAATTAGGGCAAAAGGAGTTGATATGTTGTGTTTTTAATGATTGGATAGATGGGATCTCAATCGGCCATGATCCTCTCATATATAGAGAGGAGGGTGGTCTTATCCCAGTAGGAAATCTCTCCAAGCCTTATTTTCCAAGTTTTCCACGAGATTAGAACAGTTTGGATCGGAATCCAAAAGGTCAGATCCAAACAGGGTTTTTTGTTAGGTCTGTCGGAAGTCCCGACTTGGGTCAAAACTCCCGATAGTAGGAACTTTCGACCTTTGTCGGAACTTCCAATGTGGGGATAACCCTAGACACTTGAGCAGGTTTCTTCAGGCTTCCCAGAAGTCCCGACACCTGTCAGAACTTCCGACATTCGGAAGTCCCGTCTTAGGTCGCAACTCCCGACAATGGAGCATCTTTCCGGAGGTATAACTCTTTCATCCGGACTCCGAATTAGACGTTCCATATATGTTTTTTAACCTTCTCGACGAGAGGAACGCAATGGTGAAGTTCGTTCCACATTTTGACAACTTCACAAAATGAACAATTTTGGTTGTCAACAGGTGCTTACATCGCTTCTCTGGCTCTCCGTGCGGCATCGCCGCCGCCAGCCAGTGGCCGAAGCCCGTCTCATGGATGGCGCCACAACGAAGGGGCAAAAGGTAAAGGTAAAAAAATGATCTTCCAAATGCGCGTCAGATTCTTCTATAGTTCTGCAATTAGAATCAGGTCATGATTGATGCATTCCATGTTTGAAATATATGCTATTCTTTGATTGATTGTTGTAGGTTTGAAGAGATACATTAGCACGATTTTGAGTAAGCATGGTTATAGTTGTTGCTACGGCTGCACAAATTATTACGGTTACAGTTTATATGGATGTATATATTTATAGATATATTTTTCTTCTCGTGTTGTTGTCTTATATTTTCTATACAACATGTGACTATATATGGATGTATATATAAATTATTATACAAAGTTCATCATTTTCATTCTGGATCCACCACGGCCGCGACGGCGAACAGGCCCGCGGCGGGGGTCAACCTAGAGGCGCTGAAGTGCCCCGATCATGCTGGAGCTGATGACGGACCCAGGAGCAAAGATGATGTCCACAAATGACTTATATTATGAGTTTTGCTTCTTGTATGAGTTTCGCTTGTTATATCTATGTTGACTATTATGTCTCGAGTTTATATTATGAATGCCATGGTTATCATGTAGATTTGAAATTTTATAAGAAGAATAAAACATACATAGATATGTACTATTTACATTGTCGTTCACATGAACATATAGTTTTTTTTTTCTTCCGTTGCAACGCACAGGCATATTAGCTAGTGTGTCATATAAAATAAGAGAGATGTAGATAGAACAGAATAATTTTTAATTTGACCACACAAGATGATAATTTTTCTCCTGTTGCAACGCCCGGACCTATTTGCTAGTTCCTAATTATAAGATATTTTATTTTTTTTAGATATATTATTTTTACTATGTATATAGACATAATGTATATCTAATAGCAAAAACTATGTATTTAGAAAAGCTAAAACGTCTTATATGACGGGCCTATAATAAATATAAGTATATTTTTTAAATTTAGTTAAATTTGAATTTGTTTGATTCGTGGGTCAATACTTCGATGCTTCAATCTTCATCCGGTGTCTTTATTTTTTATTATTTAAAAGTAGAAAAGGCAAAAAAAAAAAAAAATCAATCTCATACGCTGTGGCTGACTGTCTGGCTGTGCAGGTCCAACCCGACCCAACAACTCCGGTCCACCCCATTCCTTACGCTGCCGTCGACTCCGACGCGCCGGCCCGCCGCTCGCTCTCCACCGCCCGGCCAACTCAGGACTCACGGAATACCACAGAACAAGCGCAGTCCAGATGAGTGAGGGTGCCACCTCGCCGGCGCTGGAGCCGGAGGTGGCGCCTTTTCCGGACAACGACGACCTCCATCGGGAGATCTTTCTCCGTCTCCCGCCGCTCCCCTCGTCGCTGCCCCGCGCCTCCCTCGTCTGCAAGCGCTGGCGCCGCCTCCTCTCCGACCCCGCCTTCCTCCGCCGCTTCTGCGCCCACCACCGGGCGCCTCCCCTCCTCGGATTCTTTGCCGACGAAGACGGCGACATCGAGTTCGTGCCCACGCTGCGCCGGCCCGACCGCATCCCCGGCGTGCGCTTCTCCCTGCCGCGGCGCGGCGACGACTACTTGAGCTTCCTCGGCTGCCGCCACGGCCTCGCCCTCCTCGTCCGAGGCCGTGGTGTGGAACCCCGTCACCGGCAGCCAGTGCCGCGTGCCTTTCCCACCGGAGTTCAACAAAAGACACGTCTACCACAAAGGCGCCGTGCTGAGCTCCTCAGGCGATGGCCACGTGCACGGTGATTGCCGCTTGATCCCCTTCAAATTGGTATTGGTGCATCAGACTGACCTCCCCGACACGCTTGCGTCCGCGTGCCTATATGAATCGGAGTCTGGTAAATGGGGCAATATCAGCTCAATAGCTATTCCATGGTCTCGTTTGCATCAGCCTGCTGCCCTAGTTGGAAACCGACTTTACTGGATACTTTTGGGTACCAGTGACATCCTTGAGTTTGATTTGGATGGCCAGAGTCTAGCCATGATTCAGAAGCCAGAGGACCCCCGTGTTACAAACAATTCAGGCATTCAGGCCCTGCGAGTAGAAGGTAACAAGCTTGGCCTTGCAACTTTGTCAAAGCTGAGCATCCAATTGTGGCAGAGAGAGACCAATTCAGATGCTGCTGGCAGGTGGGTGCCATGGAAAACTATTGAACTAGACAAGCTCCTTCCACTAAGTCGGTTAATGAGGATATGGCCAACAACGATTCTGGGGTTTGATGAGGATAGCAATGCTTTCTTTATTTGTACGAGTGTTGGCATCTACATGATCCAGCTTGAGTCAACACAGTTCACGAAACTTTTCGAAGGCGATTCGTTTACTGCCTATTATCCCTACACAAGTTTATATACTGCAGGTAAGCTTATCTTTATGTTGCACAAATAATGAGATCCAACCATTTTTGCTATATGGCAATTGAATTATCGCTCATATGCTTAAGAGCTCACTAGCAGTTTGAACATATATATTGTGATCTTTTATTGCTTTCTCAAGTTAGTGAACTCATAGTAAAGTAATTTGGTACAATTATTACTTTTGAACTACATGAACCTAGTAGAGAATTTTATTGTTGCCAGGTTATTTAATTATGCAAAAGAGATTCAGTGTTGCTCTCTTGAATTGCTGCTTTCAGTACCAGCTTTGAAATGTTAAGAATTTTTTAGCAATACTAGTACTTAAGTAAAGTCAATGTGCTAAATAAGTAGCTTGATTGCCACACTTGGAAGCTTAAAGCTTATTGTTTCTTTCATTCATTATATTTCTTGCAATATATATTTATGACTAATCTACATTCATCTTGTTATAATCAAATTAAAAAAATCTTAGTGAATTACATGAATTTTAGCTTGTGGAGCAATACTTCTGCAGGTGATGTCTTCACTTCTACTGGGTTAGATTAGAACTAAATAATGTTTCGATCTTGAGGGCAAATTTTTACTTGATGTAACATGTTACATCTACGTGGTCGTTCTCATTTGTTTTTTCTCTGAAGTTTCTTAATTTGAACTTATTTAGTTAAGGTTCATTTCAAATGGCTAGAACAAAGTAGTTGTAGTTGCCTTAATGTTTATCTGTCTAAACATGTTGCACATTAGGTAGGTGAGTATTATTGTTCAGAGTGATTTACTGTGTACAGTGTACTTGACATTAGATGTGGCCCGTTTTCTTGCCCATTTCTAACAACAACAACAACATAGCCTTTCAGTCCCAAGCAAGTTGGGGTAGGCTAGAGTTGAAACCCACCAAGAGCCCCAAGTCACGGTTCAGGCACTTCAATAGTTGCTTTCCAAGTACTCCTATTCAAACATAGATCTCTAGGTATATCCCAAGCTTTCAAATCTCTTTTTATTGCCTCCCCCCATGTCAATTTCGGTCTTCCTCTACCTCTCCTCATATTATTAGCTTGGCTTAGGACTCCACAATGCACTGGTGCCTCTGGATGTCTCCTTTGGACATGGCCAAACCACCTCAACCGATGTTGGACAAGCTTTTCTTCAATTGGTGCTACCTCTAGGCGATCACATATATCATCGTTCCGAACTCGGTCCATTCTTGTGTGATCGTAAATCCATCGCAACATACGCATTTCTGCAACACTCAGTTGTTGAACATGTCGAATCTTTGTAGGCCATTTCTAACCTTGTAATAAAAGCTAATAGGTTACACAGCTGAATCTAATTAGCAAACCTTTTCTCTATTTTATCAATTTGGCTTTACTTATTTTTTATTGGTTCATTGGACTTGTTCTTCTCATAGGCTTGGGCATTGATGATGGAGACGATAGAGCTGAAATGCTGAACAATACATGAGATGATTGTCCCAATATATCTTGTAAACTGAGGTGAGGTGTTTCTTGAACAGGTGATGTTAATTTATCTTTTGCTTTGTGTTTGTTATTTTTCTTGTCAGCATGTTAGTAGAATATATGTTCAAAATGCTTAGGAAATCCATCACCTATTTGTAGTTTATATCAATATCTTTCAGTTGTAAACAGGCTTCATTTCGTATAATTTTTTGGGCTGTTAGGGCTTTTAACCTACAAGTTTATTTCTTATATTGGTGAAATAATACACAGCTCTCCTTTGTGTCTGAGAAAAAGTGTTTAGTGATCAAGTTATTTTGTTCGTTGCTTGGCCTTCATTGTGTGCAATTATTCCATGGTGCTTTCTTTTTCTATTTTTTTTCCAGTAGTGTGAACATCCTATTAGGGCATGAGTAGGTCAATTCAAGTTGTTGTTTTAGTTTATTCATTTATCATTATCTTCTGCAATCATAAACTTGTAACTGAGGCTTGCATATTAACTTATGTAATAGCAGTGCTGTAATTAAAACTTTTTGTGGACTACATGCTGCAAGTGATGTTTGCACTTTTACTGGTTTGGAGATGCTGCTTGGTTTATGTTTCACAAGGCACTTTTTTCTTCTAACCAGTAATCCTTATATATTTCACTGATGTTTCTCAGTTTTTATGATTATTTGAATTAATTTCATTGGGAACTAGTGAAACACTCTTCTCCAGAGTACTTGTGGATAACTTTGTTTTGTGTGATGGCTGCATAGTTTATACGTGTTCTTCATTACTAGGTTAGCAGTTATGGGAGTGTTTGGTTGCCTGGCTTACCCCCTAGCCAGGCTCCAGTAATGCAGGACAAGCTTGTTTGGTTGCCTGGGCACACCCTTTAGCCTGGCCTGCTGAGTGCACCGACCACCCCTAAGCCAGGCTTCCTGGAAACACGAGTGTCGAGCGTTCCCAGCTAGCCAGGCTTGTTCTCCCAAGCGTGAAGCATCACCGTCCATACCTTCACCGCACCGCTTCCTCCCTCCCGACACCTTCTTCCTTCCTCCCGCGACCTCCCTCAACTTGCAGCGCCGGCGACGGGATCCGTTGGGTCCTCGTCGTGGAAGCCCAGCATGTTGGGGCACATGAGATCCGCCGCACGCGAGGCTCCGGGAGGGGGAGATCCGCCGCCATCGAATCGGCTTGCGCAGGAGGATGCCCCCCACTCTGAGATCCCGGCCATGGAGGATGAACTCCGGCAGCCCTCTACCTTGCTAGTGACGGCGGCCAGCGCCATGGGATGAGATTCGTGCCATCATGTGTGGTGGTGAGACTGGTGAGGCTGGTCGAGATCCTTGGTGACCGCAGCCCCTGCAACCTCTGCATCTTCCTCGCTGGCGACCACACTCCTGCACGCTCTGAATCGAGATGGCCACCAAGTAGTGCTCTTCTAGATGGCGTGTGTGAGTTGTGCTCTTTTACTAAATCAAGATGGCGTGTGTGAGTTGTGCTCTGATTTGAGTTGGAGGCATGAGAGAAATTGGGAGGGAGATGGCTGCTCCTTGCCGCCGTCGGGGGCTAGCATCTTGCGCAGCCATGGCAAGCAGCAGCCGAGCGCACGAGCTCATCGCCGGAGATGAACACGAGCTCCTCGCTGGAGATGAAAACGAGCGCACTAGCAGCGGTGAAAAATTGGGTGGACCTCGACGGTGTGCTGCTGTTGCTTGCCATGGCCGCTGCGCTTGGTTGCTACGAGCGTGAGGTGGAGCTCGATTGCTGCGCGGAGGAGCAAGGTGGGTGCGGTGGTGTGGTCCCCTGGCGGCGCGATTGTGAAGAGGAGCTCGATGGCCGAGCGGAGGAGCGAGGTGGGCGCGGAGGTGAGCGGACGAGCATACCTAACACCTGTTCGAGAAAATGCCTCAAAGGGGGTGATCTCACCAGCTCAAAGAAGAGGTGACCGGATGCAAAGCAAGCCAACCAACCAAACAAACCTGTGTCTAGCCAGGCTTACACAATGCAGACAACCAAACAACTGTGAATTGGCTTCGTTGGATCAGGCTAAGTCTGCCCTGGCTTAGATGGCAAGCCAGGAAACCAAACACACCATATATGACTACTGTTCTGCATAATTTTCTCATATGACAATAGGTTTAATACTTGAGACTATTACTCTCTTATTGTTTGGGCTTTTCTTTGTTTTCATTGGTTCATTCGATTTGTTCTTCTTCCAGGCATGGAATTGGTGGTAGAGACTATATAACTGAAATGAAACGTAATGTCAAACAACCATGAGATGCTTTCCCCCGTTAAATTGGTGAATTGTCATGTTGGCTGAACAATTGATGCAAATTTATCTTCTCCCACGTGTATGTTGTGTTGCTAGTCAGCGTTTTCTGCTGCACTGATACCTATGTATCAATGATGTACTTATGTGTTCGATGTACAGAGTCATAGTCTCATTTACTGAATCCATTAAATTTACATTTAGTGATATATAATCTACGGAAACTGCTGCTCTATTTGGTTATTGCATTATTAGTGTTCAGTGATGACTGATTTTGTTCAATTCAATGGTGGTCTGCCCTGCTATCCAAATTTGATCAGCTTTGGCAGCCTGTTCGTGCTTGTACCTGACAATGTCAGGTTGTTCAATCCGGAGGTATAGAACTTGCTGGTTTCAGATGGATGTTGTTCTGACAACGCTGATAGCCCGCTTCTGTCGCTACTAGGTGGCCCTTTCTCGCAGGTGCTTCTTCCACCTTGCGCTAGGCTCAGGGGCAGCCTGTTCGTTTGGCTGTGGCCTGTCGTAAACGATCGTAAATTTTCAGCCGGAACAGTATTTTTCTCTCGACACAAACCAACCAGCAGTACTTCTTTACGAACCAGCGACGAAACGAACCAGTCAACCGAACAGGTTGAGGTTAGGGCGTCTCAGGGTCTAGCTCCACGCTAGCTGAGCTGTGAGCTGGATTCTAGCAAACATGGAAGAACAGAAGGATAAAAAAGACATGGATGCTAACGAAGAACAACTCGCTAGTCTATTTGCACATCTTGAGCATACATCGGCAAAGATGCTAACGTGCCAGTTGAGTCACGCTATGACATTAATGCACGTGGAAAGTGATCGTGGGACATGCTAGCGTGTTAATTAAATCACACCAATACACAGGGTGTGACATAATCTTTTTAAAATAGTTTTTTTTATGCGGTTAACGCGCAACGGGTCACGCTGTAGCAAATCGCGTGAACCCCCTGCACCCGCGTGACCGGCTTCACTCCCCTGGCCACCCTTTCCTTTTTCGCTCCACCCAAGCAGACACTCCTTTCCATTTGCACGCCAGAACTAGACCCACTTGTGTATGTTTCAAATAATTTTATTTTAGTAGCAATTTATATGTAAAAATGTATTAGGAGATTTACGAAAGAAGTTGCTACCATATAATACTAAACTTGCTACTCAAAAATACACTAAAGTTTTTACATGGTATGCACATTGATTATTACCATTGGAATATAATAAATTTGTTATATATTATTCACATAAAGGTACTAACCTCTAAAGAGAGTGATAGATCAAAACAAAACAAGCTGCAACATGGAGAGGCAAATTATTTAATAAACATTTGCGTAAGCTGCCAATTAGAGGGGCAAGTTATTATACAACAAATTATAAAAAGTCAGAAAACATGACTTGCTGCCAACCGTGAGCATTTATTAAAAAATGAGGGTAGGGATACAAAACAAGACAAGCTGTAACTTGGGGGCAAATTATTAGAACAAGCATTGGATAAGCTGCCAACTAGAGGAGCAAGTTATTATAAAACTCACTATATGAACCGAGAATCATGACAAGCTAAAAATTAGTGGGACATTTATTAAAAAACAAGAGTAGTGACCCAAAATAAAATAAGCTACACTCTGAGAAGCAAATTATTAGAACAAACATTGTATAAGGTGTCAATTTAGAACAAACTATTAGAACAAACATTGCATAAAGTGCCAATTTAGAAGGTAAGTTATTATACAACTAATATGTAGAATTTAGGAATGCATTCGAACCTAAATAGGTAACTGACAACTAAAAATAAAAAATATTAAAAAAAAGCTTTACTGGAAACTGAA